ATATATATTAAGGAGTCTAAATCCCTTATTATTTGCTTTTAGACTTCAGAAAAGATGCGTGACTCTAAGGTCCAGTGTATGCAACTTCCCCCGAATAGCCCGGATCTCAATGTGATTGAAAATCTGTTTTCTGTTTTGACGAGAGGGGTCAATGTGCTACCTGCCTGTTACCTACTGAACATTGTAGACAAAAGTGCAATACGTAATGGAGCACGAAAAAGAAAATGACGTCATAACAAAGTTGGTGAATTCGACACCGAGGAGACTTGAAAAAGTCCTAAAGAACAAAGCCAGACCAATTGCCTATCAGTGCACATAAACTTTACATCTTAATTATTATCAACTTTAATTTGTTGTAAATGAAAGTATTTTTACTCTCTTTAGTTAGGTCTTAACCCGTCTTGGTCTAGGTCAACTACTACTGACGAAATGGGAGTATGTGCTACATTCTGAACCATTCCATCTGCCGAGTACAAACGAATCACGAAAATTACAGTTACAAAGACTCATAAAGGCTTGCTTATTAATATTTGTAAAAAAATTACTCCAGGATGAATCCTGGTGCCTAGACGAACCCACAAGTATATATGTATATGAATATAAATATATGTATATATGGTAACCAACACCAGAAATTGATACAGCGTGTTCGTCGTGCTCTTTTCCACTTTCACTTTGTTCAATCAATAATCATTGACCTCGCTATACAAGATGGCTTTTCGCAATTGCGGATCTAGCCATGCTTAAGAGGTCAATAGGCAAAGGCCAGGAGAGGCCCAATCTCACAAGGCCAGCTGATTGGGTACCTCCTGGCTTCATATGGTTATCCACGCTTGCCCATAGAGAGATCGGTACAGCAAATAAACACGGGAAGGGGAAGTTTCTTGAAATGTCCCCATAGATCATTGAAAATACCAGTGAAGCGAAGAATTCTTTTCGATTACTCGTTCTCAAGCTTCTACAATAATATATGATCAAAAGGTGGCAACAAAAGTTATGATTTACAAAATAAACCCGGTTTATTTTGTAAATCATAACTTTTGTTGCCACCTTGTGATCATATATTATTGTAGAAGCTTGAGAATGAGTAATCGAAAAGAGGGGGAGTTTACCAGTTAAAACTGCCCCTCTGAATGGACGTAGCAGTAGGGTACCGGGTCTTTCTCTCGACGTCACAATAAGTCTACCCACTTCATTGAGCAGCTGCCACTCGCAGAAGCTAGTTGATCTCCCGGTTAATAAAGGGCTACTCCATTCCACCTGTTTCATTGGGTACATAATGTTAGGAGCTGATTCCAGATGGTGGGTAGTCAGTCAACGCACCAGCAAATAACACACTG